TAATAAGGTATAAAGAAGGGAAGGAATTATCTGCCAGAATATGTGTGAGAAGTAGTATAAAAAACTCAGCATCATACATCATGCTGACTAAAATGGGGATTTGAAAAGCAATAAAGGTTAAGGGAATATTAACACACAAGATTATTCTGTTTCAAGGTATCTCTGTTCCTCAGGGGATTTTTAAAAACCCAGAAGGTTTACCTAGATAACATCAAAGATGGGAAGCTTAGAATTCAATGTGTAATTTTCTCCACAGGTACGTAGGGCATTATATCAATTTTTTTCTGTTCAGATATTCAGCCATGCGATTATGTCAGTCACTGATGGAATTACCCCAAGAAAATAAGATTACAAAATCTCCATTTGAAATTCTGCAAAACTATTCAAAGCACAGATTTGGGGAATCTTGTCCAAGATGTTACTTCCTCTAAGACAGCTAGAATGACTTTCTGAGGGATCTGCATTAATGCTTAGCCCCAAAAGAAACGGCACCTGTGGGTATGAATTACTCTACACCTGGGAATAAATGCAACCCACCCATAGTCCAACATGAACAGAACAACTCAGACAAGTCAGCCTTGATCAGATCTCTCAGGCACTGTTTGGATGCATTGCTTTGTCCTTTGTGAGGACAGTGCTTATGTTTGAATCTTTTCAAAGTGTTTGCTGCTGTTCAGGAAATGGCGATGCACTGCTGGCTCTGCTCGGGGGACGGGGTAAGGGACTGTCATTGCTGTCGCCTTCTTCATGTAGCTTGTTCCTGAGGGACACCTTAGGAGCAGGCCCACTGGGCTGGAGGCTAATTACATGACTGAATTCTTCTCAGGAGGAAATTACAGAACGACCGACAGATCCAGAAGGTTGTAGGCATGTGAAATAAATAGGTGGATTGCTGGACCCCAAAGCTGCAGTCAAAGGAGCTCCCCTCAGAGGCTGCCTAACACTTCGGAGGACCCTTTCCTTCCAGCCTTAGCGCCTGTCAGGCACTTGAAATCTGTGCATGTCCTGACCTTCTCTTAGCTGAACAGTTTAGTGCCTCACTCCTGCTCAAGTCTGATGAGCGAGTCTGCTGCCCCACCGCAGCCAAATCTTGCAGTAATGTATTGCCTGAAAAAGATTCATACACTGACAGTCTCTCTGTCACAAAATATATAAGAACACAGAACAGGAGAAGGCAACACTGATTATCACACCCAGTTTTCCACCACCAGAGACAACCAGAACATGAGCAGCAATTCAGGGCATAAAGGATTCAAGTAATAAAAGCTTTCTCATTGTTGATAAATGTTAAATCTAAACAGCACAATATAGCATCCAGCCACTCGACAGAAATACCAGTCATCCCTATCAAAATAATCAAGGAAAATTTCCTGTCTGATCCCAATTTGGTGATCAGTTTAAACCTGAGCATGTGACTAGAATACACTAAGCTGGTACCATAGGGGTTTTAGATCTCAAATCCATCAGTTTATCCTAACTCAACCTTCCTCAGCCTATCCCTGCGGCCTCCTCAGTGCTGCAGGGGAGGGCAGTGAAGAACTGGGGACCAAAGTTCTACAACTTTGGGAGTGGAGAGGATAAAAGAGGCAGAATAGCCCTTTCCTTTACTGTCCTGGTTTGGGCTGAAATGGAGTTAATATTCCTTTTCGGGGACTAGATGAGTGCTGTGTTTTGGATTTAGCTTTGGGTTTGGTATGGGAAAAATGCTGATAGCACACTGGTGTTTTCAGCTGCTACCGAGATTTCAGGGACTCTCCGACTCCCCATGTCCTGCCCGTGCGCAAGGGCACAAGAAGCAGGGAGGGAGCATGGACAGAGCACCAGACCCAAATTGGCCCATGAAATATTCCATATCATGGAACGTCATGCTCACTGTATAGAGGAGGGATGGTCAGGAAGGGGATCTCTCTCTCTCGCTTCTGGGATTGCGATTGCGGGATCTGGGTATTTCGGGGTCGCCCCAGGAACGGGCTGGATATTGGTTAGCGGGTGGTGAGCAATTACATTGTGCATTGCCCGTTTATATTTTTTTTCCTGTTATTGTCATTGTTCTTGTTTTATTACCATTATTAAACTATCTCAGCCTGCGAGTCTCCCTTCACCCCTCTAATTCCCTCCCCCGTTCCCAGGTGGGGAGGGGGAAGGGAGGGTGACCAGCTGCGGGGGCTGGTTGCCAACCAGGCTCAAACCACGACATTTTACAAACTTTGCCAACGACCAGAAGAAATCCTGAAATACAGGATTACTACAACAGAAATAAAATGCAAATAAATGTGAACACACAACAATCTAGTTTCAGTTATTCCTTTCTGGAATACTAAAGGACTTAACATTTCTCATTCTTGGATCAACCTTTTTCCCTAAACTTTTCATCCTCAGTATAATGATGCATATTCCTTGTTCTCTATCTTATTTAGAATACCTTTACTCTTCCAATGCTTATATACCATCTAATTTCCTGTTTAAATTATCCATTACCATTTTAGAACTGTTCAACCTTGTGCCATGACTTAAATTTCCACTCCCAATATATTTATAGTCATCACTTCCACTCTCTTCCAGTTTTTCTTGCTTTCTTTCCAAACCTTGTTGAGAACTGAAGAAACCAAAATGCACAGTGCCAAAGAAAGCAAGAGCAGAGGAACAAAATTGGTCTTGTGATAGGGACATTCTTTTGGGAGTGGGTGAGTGAGAACCTAGGCTGCAGGACCTGGGCATCCAGGTCTCCCAGGACTGTTTTTGCATTTTACAATAAATGGAGAACAAATAAAATGCCTGTACGTATGCACTTATTCTTCTAAGTGATCAAGCCTGAGCACTGGGTTCAAACTGCAGATTTACATGGTGACCTCACACTGTCTCAGCCTGTCCAGGTAGCAGGTGGCATTCTACTGCTATTTCCAGATAGTTTTAACTGAAGTAGCAGAGCAAAGATGTTTTTTGCCTGACTGAATTCAATGTGAACAAAACATGATTGGCAGATTCTTGTGTTTAGGATGCAAGTTCAGGTACTTGATGTATCATTACACCTACAGCAGTAAATTAACATGTCTGGAATAGCTTTTGAACATTTGAGGTAAGTGAACAGAACAATTCATATTGAAATTTTCAAACTTTTCAGAGTGCACATATGCAAACTATCTAGTTTAGATGTTCCCAAGTCTGTGTTGATTTTTTAACCATGTCTGGTACATGCATAAGCGTAAAGCCAGACACCGGTGGTGTGCCCCAGGTACTGGTATCAGGGCCAATGCTATTTAACCCCTTCATTAACAACGTGGAAGATAGGAATAGTGCACCTTCTGAAAATTTACAGACATTACAACACTGAGGGGAATGACTGACATATCAGAGGTTTGTGCTGCCATTCAGAGAGACTTGACAGGGCAGAAAAGGCCCTGGCAGTGCTGGTGAACACCAACTTGTATGTAAGCAACACAGCAGCAACACTTGCAGCAAACAAGCCAAACAGCCTCCTGAGCTGCATTAGGAAGAGAGTTGCCAGTAGGTTGAGGGAGGCAATTTTCCACTCTGCTCAGCACTGGTGAGACATCTGGAGTGCTGGGTCCAGTTCTGGGCTTCCCAGTACAAGAGAGACATGGACATAGCAGTGTCAGTCCAGCAAACTGCCATGAAGATAAACAGAACAGAACATCTGACCTACAAAAGCAGATCAAGAGCTGGGACTCTTGAGCCCGGAAAAGAGGAAGCTCAAGGGTATCTTATCAATGTGCATAAATACATGATGGGGCAAGGGTGGAGGTAGGGAAGACTGAGCCAGTCTCCTCAGTGGAGCCCAAGGAAAGGAAAATAGGAAATTGGCACAAAATGGAATACAGAAAATCCCATTTACACACAAGGAAGTAAAAAACCCAAGCAAATCTGCAAGGGCAATCAAATGCTGAGACAGGGTATCCTGAGAGGCTATATGGTTCTCATCCTTGGAGATACTCAAAAGCCAACTAGACACACTCCTCAGTAACATGCTTTAGTTGACCCTGCTGTTCAGTGTGGTTGAAACCGTAGTGTCTCCAGAGGTCCCTTCGAAGCTCTGCAGTTCTATACTGCTGCAGTTGTGAACAACTTTACACAGGAAAACTGACACCACCACCACTCGGATCTTGACATCCTTTGAAGACGAAAGCCTGTCTAAAAAGTTTTACAGTGTGAAACAGTAACAATCCAGGAACCATTTCATCTTTTGTGGAACTAAATTTCCCATTTGAGTCTGGATCCAGCAACTGTTACAGCAGCTATGCCTACAGACCTTTGACTGGGGACCCACACCTCCATTATGTCACTGAACTGCACCCATGGTTGAATCGTACCTTTAAGTTCAAAAAGAAGAAAACATGGTTCTCATTTCCAAATATAAGGTATTATAGTCATGGATGCACAACAGAGGAATGAGACAGCTTCTCTCAGACTTAGGATGATGCTAGCAGCTTCTTGCTTTCCTCAGATGGACTTATCCACATAACAAGTATAGGAAGAAGACCATAAGCTACACCCACATTTTGAGCAAAGCTCCATCTGGTGAACAGACTCTCACCAGTGTTTATCCAGCCTGTAGGTTTGATCTGGTAAACAGATTTGTCAGTCGAATTCCTAAGAAGCTGAAGGGTTTTACATACCTATAAAGTTAACATTAGATGAGCTAGAATTCCAAGACTTTCAGGAGGTGCTCAAAACCAAATGTGGCAGTTTATAAAATTTTGGATTTAGCCATAGTTATTAAATCTAGACCCAAGAGCTGTAGTCCAGGTGCCCGTCTTTTAAAATGGAGTGACAAAGATTATCAAGATTATGACTGTGTATCAAAGATGGTGAAAATGTAGATTTAATAAAAAGATACATTCACTAACAAAAAGAACTTTTAGAAACCAAACCCTAATCAGACTGAGCAGAATTAAATGTGCATTGAAACGTGCAAATTATTATTCAACATGTCATTTGGTGTACTAAATTATCTTGCTGGAGTAACAGCTGAGGAAACACAGTTTTTTTAGTCATGTTCATTTACTTTGTTTACTTCCATAGAAGGTGGCTCCTGGAAAAAGTTTACAAAATTAATTGACACATTTGATAGAATTGCCCTTTCCCCCAGCATTGTGTGCGTAGACTGTAACTCCAGATGTTACAATCAGATATTAATGTAATTTTTCACTTTTTTTTCTTTACAAATTAGTATTATAGCGATCTCTGTTCTGAAAGTCTCTGTAAGCACGTTTTGCATCTGCTTTACTGTGCGGGATTCTTCCAAAAGGTTCCAGATCATTGAAGCAGGCATCAAAAACTTCATCCACAGCTTTTTCTGCCGTTTCTTTGCTAACTTTTCTAACAGCCAAAATGGAACGAATTGCTCTGTCTCGTACACAAGTCTAAAGTAGGAATTAGATAAAGAAAAGTTTGTCATTATTAGTATAAATAATTTTTCCCCAGATTTTGTCAAGTATTAACTCCTACTACACAGACAATAATTTTGTATCACAGAAGAGTCAAACAATGCCTATAATAAGCATTGAAGTAGAGTTTTGTTCTATCCTGTGTTAACTACGTGGTTTAGTTTTTCATGTGCAAATAAACTGACAGGTAAGTAAAAGACATTCCTCAGAACAGGAATTAAAATACAACTTGGAATTTGTTTAGGTATCAAGTATTTGTACAACTTGACTTGGACACAAGCAAAAATATGTCAGAAACAAACAGACATAAATACCAGTTTGTACTTTTCCAATAACGTAAAGGAATGACTCCTCTACTGGCCTTCATTTTGCTACCTCTCTTTATGGCAACTTTTGTTTACAGTTTGTCTACTAAAAGATAAAAAAAGATGTAAACATCTGCAGCTACATGCTAAATGTCACTCTAACATGAGCAACTACTTGGGACTCAACCTGTAGCCTTCATTACTATTAAAAAAATTAAGTCCTGTAAGACTTAATACACATGGTTATTGTGAAGCCTTGTCATTCTCCTTCCTCCAGTTTTCAAGGACTTTTTAGCGTTTTACCCACTTATACTGGGTGAGGTATTTCCACTACATTTACTGCAAACCCTGGTTTTATTTTATTCTTATTAATCATCCATTGTCAGTGGTAATGCTCTATGATATGACTAAGTATTCAGGAATTTCACTCCAATAAAAATAACGAGGTAAAGGTCAAATAAGAGAAAGCAACGAGCCTATGATATCGACTTATTTCTCTGATGTTTTCAGCTATGAAATTATAGAAGGCCAAGATCAAGTAGGTAAGGATGGCTCAAGACAAATCAGTAGACTTTAACATCTACAGTCTTTACCTGACGGTGTCCTTTTAATCCAAATTTAAACCTGGCTATTTCATTCAGTAGTGTACAGTCTCCACTGAGATTAGCAGCTCGAATCTATTGAGAGAAAAAAAAAGCCACGCCGTCAGAGAAACACATGGAAATATAAAGTCAAAACCTCTATAACAATTTTTTTCTTCAATACCTTTCTGGTCACTGCTAGTGGAGAATATTCCCAGGGCCACTTCTACTTATTAAGTACATATTACCCTTTATATCCACCTTCTCAGCCTCAATGAACTATGGAGTATTACTATAGAACCTGTGAGTTTCTCCAGGGACCAAGCCTCACACATTGACAAAGCTTAAATGAATGAGCAGAAGAGATCACATGTGCATATACATATATACATGAACTGCTAAAAGAACATGGAAAGTAATATTCTCCCTCAGTCTATATCAGAAGCTGATACAAGAGTCAAGAAGAAAGGCAGTTCAAAGACTACAACTGCAATACCCAAAAGCAGTAAATCACTTGCTTTAAGAAAAGCCACATTTAAATGAGTATGTATGTTTTAGCTTGTTAACTGTCTTATCCTGTGCACTGTAATTTCTTTTGTCAATCAACTGTCCCACACCCTACCCTCTCAGTTAGGAAATATAACTAAAACTGTATTTCCCACAATTAAGTTGCAGAATAAGTGCATGTAAAATATGAAATGCAAGAATTAAAAAGCTGACAATAAAAATTGTAAACACCATATATTAAATCAAGTATCAAAAGATGTGAACCAAACAAATAATCTCAACAAGAACAAGCACAGTCTTGTTTTATATGTTCTTTAGTTTTATGTTTGAGGCTTACATGTGTTATTCTGCACTGTGTAAATGCTTAAACAACAACAAAATAAAAAGGTAGACAATACTTAATAATTCTGTATTATTGTATTTGGTTTAAGTGGCAAGATGTTGGCAGCTGGGGGCCTGCTGGGATGGCTTCTGTGAGATGAGACACAGGGCTGCCCCCATGCTGGACAGACCCAGTTTCAGCTGGCTCTAAAATGGACCCACTGCTGGACAACGCTGAGCCCATCAGCGATGCTGGTGGTACCTCTGTGACGACATATTTAAGAAAGGATAAAAAACACTACATGGCAGGTGTGAGAGAGCGTGAGAAAAACAGCACCATACCACCAAAATCAGTGAAAGAGTGGGAGGGAGTGCTCCAGGCAGCAGAGTAGATTCCCCTGCAACCTGTGAAGACCACCATGGTGACACAAGTTGTCTCCCTACAGGTGTGAAGGAACACAGTGGAGCAGATATCTACAGTGCAGTGCAAAGAGGATCCCACACCAGAGCAGATGGACATGCACTGAAGGAAGCTGCAGCCCACGGGGTGCCCACGCAGGAGCAGGTTTTCTGGCAGGAATTGTGGTCCATGCAGGACCAATGCTGGAGTAGTCCATTCCTGGATTGTATGCTGTGGAAAGGACCCAAACAGGAGCTGGTCTTGAAGAACAGACGCCCATGGGAAAGACCTACATTGGAGCAGTTTATGAGGGATTGTATCCCGTGGGAGGGACCTCACACTGGAGCAGGGGAACAGCATGAGGAGGAAGGAGCAGCAGAGACAAAGTGTTACGAACTGTCCACATCCCCCATTCACCTGTGCCACTTGGGGAAGAAGGAGATAGAAAAGTCAGGAATGAGGAAGCAAAGTTAAACCTGGAAAGACGCGGGGAGGGGAGGTATTTCTAGTTTTATTTCTTAGTATCCTACTCTGTCATTAATTGGCAATAGATTAAATTAATCTTCCCCAAGTAGACTGTATTTTGCCTATGATGGTAACTGGTGACATCTATGTGCTTATCTTCACCCATGCACTTTTCAAACTTATTTTTCTCCCCTGTCCTACTGAAGAAGTGGAGTTGGAGAATAACTTGGTGGGTGAATGGCAGCCAGCCAAAGTCAACCCCCCACAACTACACAGAATGGCTTTACTGGTACCACATAAGGTTACTTCATTAAGTTTTATCTATAAAAATATAATCATAGAATGGTTTGGAATGGAAGGGACCTTAAAGATCATCTAGTTCCCACCTCCCTGCCATGGTCAGGGACACCTTTCACTAGACCAGGTTGCTCAAAGCCCCGTCCAACCTGGCCTTGAACCCTTACATGGAGGGGGCAGCCACAGCTTCTCTGGGCAACTTGTGACAGCCTTAACTAAAGTGTATTATTAGGAACATCATAATTAAGGAAAAAAAATGTATGTTTTAGGAAAAGGCAAGTTTGCTGTTAACAAAAAAAATCTAAACAAAAATAAGGTTACCGTACTACTGTGACAACTAACCAACATACCAAGATTTGCAGGTGAGATGAAGAACCCTATAAACATCTGATTAATGTGTGAATGCATTTTCATATCTAACTACTCTCATTAGTTAATAACCACTTCTTGTTGTGTTTACACTCACAGTGATCACATTCTACTTAATATGACACTGACTTATGAAGGCTTGTGAAAAATAAGTATTTGTTTTCTGAATGAAACTGTTTAGGTTGATCTGACAGAAAGGAGAAAATGCATTAACAAGATTAAAACAAATGAAGTCTGTGCAACAGCATGCCTACTTAAACATGAAGCATCTCTAATAACCAACAGTAATTAATATAATTACAACATTAGAAGCATTTTAACTTACCTCTGAACATGCCAAGTGTTTAACATTTTTAAACCAGTCAACATGTGCACGACAGTGATCAAAAGCATGAATCAATTCATGTGTGACCACCCGGTTCATATGAGATTGTTGGTGAATGTTGTTCTGACACAGAACAATCTGTAGAAGAAAAGATACATAGTCTTTTCAACAAGTTTCAGCATCTCCCTTACTCCTCAGACACCCAGCACACATCACCTACAGTGTTTAGACTCTTTAGATCAACGTTTTTCAACATGAACAACCTCATCATTCTGCAGTGTACTAGCTCCAATGCCATGGAACATCTTCCGTTTATCTTGTTTTCATAACTCACCCAGATATCAGGATTAGTAGATATAAACCCAGTAACAAAACACTAAAAAAAAATGGTAATCCTTCGAAAGAGGACAATGTCCAGTGCCTACCTGAGATGCGGCAGAATCAAAACCTCCACCGACACAGCCATCACAGTTTTCACAAGAAAAGTGCCGGTCATTGAAGACAGTGCTGCAAGGCCCAAACAAGCAAAGTTACTGAGAAGAATCTGAAAAAGACCAGTAACTCCATATAATAGTGATGGTACTACAGAGAACAAGCTGAATTAGTTTACATACCAACCAGATTGCTTCATAGCCTCGAGAAGAAGTTGAGCATATGGATCTAGAAAAACATTGCTGCAATCAATTTCTCTAAACAAAAGTTTTTAAAGTCATCTATAATCAAAATATAAAGATAGCCAAGAAATAAAACAAGAAGAAAAGCACTACATGTGCAAATTGATACTTTGCAGTACTTAATGTAATGCGACTGGTATCTGTTACAGCTCAGGCTACGTAAAGCGATATAGAAGCATGATCTAGAATCTTGATATATAGAAAACTATTGAGGAATCAAGTCACTTCTGACATTTCCTTATTAGTAATAAACATAAACAGAGTAGCCTATAGTAACTTGGTTTCAGTAACATTCACAGTCAACATTACACAGTGAAAAGGGCACAAATGAACTAGAAATCGATTAATTCTGTCAAACTTTCAGGAGAAAAAAAAGTAGAAAGGGACCTGCTGATAAGGAAAAAAAAAAGCACACAGCCACTTTTGAAATTCTGTTTTCCTTGTCTTCACCGAAATCAGCGTGCTCACCCAAGCAGCAGCCCCATCCCGCCAACGGCCTGGGCCCGCCCAGCCGCCCGGGGCCGGCGGTGGCGGAAGCAGAGCAGCTCCCCGAGACCCTGCGGCCCGGGGGCAGCGCCGCCTGCCACGGCGGGCCGTACCCGCGGGGGACGCGGACACCCCCGGTCCCGCCCGGGGCGCCCTCCGCTGCGCCAGGGCCGGGCCCGGGCCCGCCCAGGACGCACTTACTCGTGTCCAGGGTCATCCTCAGCATCAGCTGGCACCTGTTGTGGAAGGTGAAAAGGCTGCGGACCAGGAAACCCTGCGGCGTCTTGTTCCGGTCCGGGAAGAACCGGTAACCGAAGTCATCGTCCTCGGCCGCCGGTGGAGTGGCGGCAGCCGCCCCCCGCTCCATGGCCGGCCTCGGCCCCCGCCCTCCACCGGTGGCGGCGGGGCAGTGGGGAAGGGGCGCGGCAGCGCCAATCGCCGGGCCAGCTCCCCGTCACGTGAGGCGGAGGGGGCGTGGCCAAGCGGCGCGGAGGACCGCGGGCGCATGCGCTGATTGGACCCTGCCGCTCCCTCTCCCGCTGCTGCCGCTGCCACGGGGTTGTCGGGGCGCCGGGACCGTCCCCTTCCCTTTCTCCGTCCCTGTCCCGCTGCGGGGCCGCGGCGCCGCATTGCGTTCTGGGAGGCGACTCGGCCGCGCGGGGAGGGCGTCCGGCGGCGGCAGGAAGAAGCGGGACCCGGCGCAGGTGAGGCCGCGGCGGGACGGGACGGGACGTGCCCGGCTGGGTTTGGCTCGGCTCGGCCGCCTCCCCGAGGCCCACGGGCGGCGGGGGGGGGGTGTGGTGAGGAGCCCACCCTGCAGGAATCACGGCCGCGTTTGTAACTCTGGGGCGGCGGAGGAGGGGGTGTTGGAACTTAAGCGGGCTGGCTTCGCCTCCGGGCGTTTCTTCGGCGTGGGCCGCGGGGCTCGCTGCCGGTGCGGGGTGCCAGCCCGCTGCGCTGGCCCTTGGCCGGGCCCGTGGGGCGGTGCGGCTGCTCCGCCGGGGGGTCGCTGGGCCAAGGCAGCCCTCGGGTGTTGGGTAAGGTGAAGGAAGGCCCTGGCGTTGAGACTCGGGTAAAAGCGTGAGAACCGTACTGGAAACGGCGTGAAAATCTGTTAACGCGTGGGTTAAGGTCGTTGCTAAGCTCTGGGCAGCAAGCAGCGTGAGGCTGGCCGGTGGGTAACAGGAGCGGCGGGCTTACCTCACACACTTGTGCAAGACGCTTGAGAAAGCCGGAAGGCAAACAGCTAGATTTAGCGTTAGATTTTCACATGTGTAAAGAGTATTATTTAGTCAGTGATAGCAAAAACAAAAAGTTCAGGAGATCACAGTGTAGTTTCATGCGTCCTTTGAAGCATCTTGGTCCAGGTACCGTTGGCCAGGGTGTGCTAGGCTGTGTGGAATATTTCGTGTGCCCATGCCCAGGTTTTGTGGAATTAACTGGCCGAGTATTGCAGAGACAGCTCAGTATGGGGCAACTGTTGTAGGTGGAAAAAAAAAAAAATATAATGAAGACCTAAATTGGAAGTATGATGGAAAATAGGCATTTTTGGCTTCACCTAAAGTTTCTTTCCACTTTTTTTTTTTTTTTCAAATAGACCAAATATTTACGAGATTTTTAGGAAAAACATGTTGCTATGGGTAAGCATGTTACCGCCTGTGTATAGGAGCTAACTAGGGAGACGTACAACTGGTGCGTCAGGGCATCTACACAGCTGCTTACTCCTGAGGATGGAAAAGCTTCTTCTTTGATAGCATTAGTTTACTAGTAATCATACAGTGTGTTTTTCCATCTTTCATGAGATTCTTGTCCAGAATTATGGACAGCGCATTGTGTTGCAGAAGTCATTAGCTTTGTTAGGTCCATAAATCTTTATATTTCTGTGCTATTAGGTTATTGCCTTACTGGATGTTAAAAGTAAATTAAAAAATCCAGTCCTTTTTCTCCCTTAAAAATTTTGTGTGTGCTGTCTCTGTAAATAGCTTATTTACCCATATCTGAGGATTGTAACTGAACCTGAAGCTCTTTCAGTCAGGAGGCTATAGTTATCAACCATTCATATCTTTCTTTGTTTAAGTTTCTATTTAGTTCATCATTAATTACTTAATCATGGTTGTTTTCAAAATATGTTTTCTTCATCCTTTAAAGTTCTTGTGCTATGGAGTGCACAAATGTGGGGGTTTTTTTCTGAATAGCACCCAAGAATTTTTTTAAGGTTTCTTTTTACTCGTGACTTGATATTTCTGTGATAATGACATGTCTTTCACTTAAGACACTAAAAAATAAAGAGAGCAAAACTTACGAAGGCTATTAAGTATTAATAATTAAACTGTATTTTAGGGACTTGGAGGACTATAGATGTGTGCAAAGAGCACACTCAAAGTATATTCTGGACTTGTAATTCAATAGACTTCATAACAAAACACCTTGTGTTCACTCATTCCTGTGCTAAAAACATGTGTGTCTTTAGGTGTACTTGTTGGAGCCAAAAGTGCATTTGGGAGTTGGTTTGTCAGATGTCTTGTCTTGTCTTGTTTCTGTTCAGATACAAGGCAGCATGTATGTCTTACTCATTTTGGGAGGGTTTTTTTTTTGTTAAAACATAAATGTTAACATGTTAAATTTTTCTTCTATCATCTGGGAAACGCTACAGAAACTCCTTTAAGATCACCTTGCTATCACTTTCAGGGTTTTCGTTGACTTGAGTGCTTTACATTACACTTAGGAAAGCATGACTTACTGTTTGTTCTGATATACTTTGTTTTATCTAAATAATATGGCTTCCCATTATTTTTTTCAAAGACATTTAAATTATGGTTCTTCTTAGTCTCTTACTATTTATTGTTCCTAGTGTGCTACTGGGAAGCCTGTCTTGCATGTAAGTCAGACTTCTTCATTTTGAAGTAGCTAGCTTCCTTCAGTAAATACTTTCAAGTTCTCTTTAGAAAGTTTTTTCCTTGAAATTTGGCAGATTACAATGAGTGCACCAAATAAAGCGTTGGAACTACAGCTGCAAATAAAGCAAAATGCTGAAGAGCTTCAGGATTTTATGAGAGAATTGGAGAGCTGGGAAAAAGATATTAAAGAAGTGGATTCTGAACTAAGGAAACAGAGCGGTGTCCCAGAAGAGGTAAAAATCACACATCCAGTGTCAATATTAACTCTGTGATACATAATGTGATAGTTTATAGTAATTACTTTTTGCTTCAGCAGGATTACTTCTGTTGACTTAAAATATCTGTACAGAAGGTATGAGCTAACCCAGCTGACTTATTCCTCATCTGAAGCAGACCAAAGATTCCTCTGTAAACTGTTCCACCAACAGCTGTGGGGCAGCAGCCTCTGGAGGTGACGGGCCAGTAAATTTTTAATCAGTTCCATGAAGACCTATGAGAATATTTCTGTTTGCAGCATCAGTATTACTTATTTATTAGTGAGTTTTAATATATTGATGTCATACTTCAGTGACACTCTACAGAGATTTGTCTTCTAAAACTTAACTTTATATCATACATATAATATTTGATATTATTATTTTTGAAAGATTTATACTTGCTGACCTTAGTGGTTTTGTAGAGTTCCTGAGAACAGCTTGGTGTTTGGATTTCTAACACAAAATTAACCAGAAATACAGATACTATATCTAGATTATAGGTACTATAGATTTTTCAATGCAAGTAACTTTCACATATCTGTTTTATAATAAATAACTTATTTCCATTTAGAATTTGCCACCAATTCGAAACAAGGCTTTTAAGAAAAATAAGAAAAGCAAAAGTAAAGTCCCTTCAAAGATAACCACTGAGGAGAACAAGAAAAACAAAATCAAGTCTTATGATTATGAAGCATGGGGAAAACTTGATGTGGTGAGTCAGAATATTTGCTTGTTAAGCGTCTCATCCCTTGTTGATTCTATTTAAATAAGATTTTCTTATAGTACTGAGAGTTCAGGCCACAAGTCAGTATCTTACTGATTGTGCTGGGTACTGCATGAACATAGAAAGTAGCTTTCTTCCAAAAAGGTTATGTGTTTAAAATTTGGAATATTGAGAAATACTAGTTTTCTATTGATTCTGCTCTCATCCAGCAGTTTGAATTTGACTTTAAGGAAAAAATAACAAATAGATAAGGATAGATCTATTAAAAAGTCATAATTGTAAAAGAATATAAGACTAAACACAGCTGGCAGTATTAGAGGATAGATCTTTCACTTTTGAAGCGTGGAATACTTCTTGGTAAAGAGGACTTAAGCAATAGAGATTTTGAAAAATGCACTACTTCTCCTAAAGTCTTGCTTGATTTATTTTGTGTTATTAAATTATAATGAAGATAATTTATTTTTATCTGATTTCAGGATAAGATACTTGAAGAACTTGATAAAGAAGATAGTATTCATGATTCTGTATCTCCAGAATCAGACTCTGAAGAAGATGGAATCCGTATAGATGCAGAAAAAGCTCTTGCAGAGAAGGAAAAGGTTATAGCATTATAACTGTTTGTTATACTCTGTATTGGAGCCAGTTTTGTTTAATATCTTTATCAGTCATCTGGACGAAGGGTTCGAGTGCATCCTCTAAGTTTGCAGACTACACCAAGCTGGACAGGAGTACGGATCTGCTTGAGGGTAGAAAGGCTCTATGGAGGGATCTGGACAGCCTGGATCGATGGGCTGAGGCCAATTGTATGAGGTCCAGCAAGGCTGAGTGCCAGGTCCTGCACTTGGGTCACAACAACCCCATGTTATGCTACAGCCTTGGGCAAAAGTGGCTGGAAAGTTGCCCCACGGAAAAGGACCTGGGGGTGTTGGTCAACAGCCAGCTGAATATGAGCTGGCAGTGTGCCCAGGTGGCCAACAGCATCCTGGCTTGTATCAGAAATAGTGTGGCCAGCAAGACTAGGGGAGTGATTGTCCACCTGTACTCGGCACTGGTGAGGCTGCACTTTGAATATTGTGTTCAGTTTTGGGCACCTCACTCCAAGAAAGACATTGGGGTGCTGGAGAATGTCCAGAGAAGGGCAACGAAGTTGGTGAAGGGTGTGGAGAGCAAGTCTTATGAGGAGCGGCTGAGGGAACTGGGGTTGTTTAGGCTGGAGAAAAGGAGGCTCAGGGGAGACCTTACTGAGGAGGTTATAGTGAGATGGGTGTTGGTCTTTTTTCCCAAGAAACAAGCAACAAGATGAGAGGAAATGGCCTCAAGTTGCGCCAGGGGAGATTTAGATTGGATACTAGGAAAAATTTATTCACTGAAGGGTTTGTCAAGCATTGGAACAGGCTGCCCGGGGAAGGGGTTGAGGCATCATCCCTGGAAGTATTTAAAAGATATGTAGATGTGGTACTTAGGAACGTGGTTAGTGGTGGACTTGGCAGTGTTAGATTTAATGGTTGGACTCAATCTTAAAGGTCTTTTCCAACCTAAATGAATCTATGATTTTCAAAGTAGCGAGTTAGACGTAGGAGCCTGCATAGTTTCTTTTAAAAGATTGTGCACTGAGACAATTCAGGTGGAAGAATTGCCTGTTTGGAATTTTCTGTGTCTGTTTTCCTGCCCATTATTCCAACATGCAAAATTCTCACTGCTTTTCTGTTTCTTTCCATCACCAATTGCAGCAAAGCCTGTCAGTCTCTGTTTAATGTGCACTTTTGATGTAATGTATTGGTATTTTTTTGCTTTGAGAAGATGGATTGTTGTATAGAATTGCCATGTGGATCAAACTGGTGCTTACCTCAACACGAGGGCTGAATGCCAAAAACTAAATCACCAAGAATTTAAGATTAGTTCCTTTGTGAGGCCACTACATCTGGGAATGATGGGTGAATTTGTATGTCTTCCCTATCTTAGGGATGGCAAGTTGGTACCAGCTCAGTTGTACCTTATTTCACAAGTAGAATACGGCAAGACCTAGCTCATCCTTCATTGCCATGTGAGATAGGCGAAGCTAGATGTATGGTGACTTCTGTATCTCTGAGAAACTTGTTTACAAGCAATCACCTAACACCATCTGTCAGTCCACACTTTTCTTCAGTTGTTTCTTAGGGTTTTTTTATTGTCTGCATGGGTGACATCTGCCTTCTTTGCCTGCTGTATAATCTGCAGTCTACACTGAGGAATTGAGATGTCTTTGACTGTTATCATCTTGGCTGCAATGAAGCAGTTGAGGGCACACAAGATTAAAGTTGTGTCCCAAAGGAGGCAGAAGTGAGAATATTTACCTTGGAAAGCAAAGATGCCCAATCTAATTACTAAAAACTCAAAATAAACTTCGGTAATTCTCTGTGGCAATTTAAGAAGCTATGTATGTGCTTGTTATAGGTTTTTGGAAATGACCTCCAGATATTGAAAATAAAGCCCTGTTATTGCATAAATAATGAGAAATATTTAATACAGGATACTTAGAATATTTTAGCTAAATGTTTTACAGTAAAGCAGTACTTTGTGAGAGATATTAAAGAAAAATGTTTGCTAAAATACAAGCTTTGAATTTTTTCACCAAGAATTAGTAATGTGTCTGTCAGTGTACAGTAATTTGCTAATAAGACTTTCTTCTATTCACAGGGTAATAACTATTTTAGACAAGGGAATTTTGATGAAGCTATAAAATGCTACACTAGAGGGATGCATTCTGATCCATACAATCCAGTATTGCCCACAAACAGAGCATCGGCTTTTTATAGAATGAAAAAGTAAGACTTGTATTGTTAAATCCTTAATATTTTATTCTTTTGAATGCTACCTTCAGATTTTTTGTCTGGTTTTAAGTCTTGATTATATTATCATGCTGTATTACAGCCTGTGTAAGACTGCTGTTGCAACCTGCTTTGCAATTTCAAGTAAAATAAGAATTGCCAGGATAAGGAATTTGGTAGTTTCTTTTCCTCTGCTTTCATGTTGGAAGTTCATGGTCTTTGTATTACAGTGTAAGAGTTAAAAAAAAAAAAAAAAAAAAAAAAAAAAAAAAAAAAAAGGAAGAGACAAAGTTCAGTATCTAATTTGCCTTTCAGATTCAGTGAGGTCTATTTCTAAAGCTTTAATTTGTTTTGGGGGAAGAGAGGATATAGGAGAGTTGGTTATTCTTTCTATTTTGGTAGAGATTGGTGACCTCTGTTTTTCTTTCCTGTTTTAATGTGTTCTGAATTGAGAGATATTTAAATATTTATTCTGTGCCCTTCTGAAACATGTAAGATTTCCACTTTAGAGAGAACCCATTAAGCTTCAGAGTAAACTGACTTGATGAAGTTTTGTATTTTGCTACCTAGATGTGTCCAAACTAACTAATTCGTATTTTTGATAGGTTTTCTGTTGCAGAATCTGACTGCAATTTAGCACTTGCTTTAGATAAAAATTACACAAAGGCTTATGCCAGAAGAGGGGCTGCTCGCTTTGCTTTGAAAAATCTTCAAGGTGCTAAAGAAGGTGGGTCTTTTTTAAATTCTTCCCTTAAAATATGTACAAACTGTTAATTTATCTGCTTGATTAAAACTTGTGTCATTTGCTTATTTGGTGTAGGAATTTAATTTTCTTTTCCTGTAAACAAATAAATAAAATACCATATCACATATTCTTCAAACAAGGTAAAATTCAAGCAGCAAGTCTAAATGATTACTGTAGGTATTAAAAGTTCTAGAATAATTCAGCTTTAAATGTCTTAGAATAATGTGTTCTTTGTAATAGCTCTGGCCTTTTAGCTAACTACAAAAAAGTGTTACCTCAAAAGAACGCTTTTTTTTTTTATGTTCTGGTTGCTAGCCTGTAGTTCCTACCTGAAACATTGTTTTCTGATCTTTTAATAGATTATGAAAAAGTTTTAGAGCTGGATGCAAACAATTTTGAAGCAAAAAATGAACTGAAGAAAATTGATCGGGTAATAAGATTAATACGCCCTAATGTAAATTAATACAACCTGTTCTGTTTATATCTGTATCAACTTGTATTTGTAACAAGAACTGAATTCAACAAAATCTCATGTGCTTTTTCTGGCATTTGAAGTTCACTGGAGTCAAAATCTGTAGTTGAGTTTCTTCTGGTTTAACTAGCATGTATGCAAACACCAGTGTAATGGTGGATTAGCAGACAAAGGCTGGATGTGTGCACCAACATTTGTGGTGTTTTTTGTTTGTTTTTTTTTTTTTTTTGGGGGGGGGGGTGTGTGGTTTTTTTTGTTGTTTGTTTGTTTTTTTTTAATTTTCCTTGAGTTGTTTTTTCTGCCTCCTGTGTTAATGTTGCAGATTTTTCAGGCATGCTTAGTATTTTGGTACAAGGTAGCACTACATATGAGAGAACTTGTGTATAAAGCTGACCTGCTAGCCTTCTTGTAATTCCACTGATTGCTGTGGTCTGACAACCCACAAAGTGGGTTTATGCCTAGCAGGACATAATACTCTGCTGTAAGTCTGAACCCTTTCATGACAGGGAGAGAATGTTCATTATGATGACCTTAGTAAATATAAGCTCACCTATCATTACAGTGTAAATATGCTTATACCTCTTCAACTGTAGTTTTGAAAGTGCTTGAAAAATATATTTTCATAATGAAGACCCAGAGTCTCCAGTAATTGAAGAAATCAATGTTTTGTGAATTGGAATATATGTAGGCAGGTTTCATGGTTCATTTTACATTGTGCTTCAAAAATTACATACTATTTATTTGCTTATTAAGATTCTGGCTCACAGTGTCTCATAGAAATACATTTTCAGAACAATTTAGAATAATCTCTTCAGTCTGCATGCAACTTAGAACACGGGTACTTTGTTAAAATGCTTGGCAGATTTTTGAATCTTGAAAGTTTTAGAATTAATTGTAATTTATATGAAAACGTGTAAGTGGGGGAAGTACTTGTTGAGGAAAAAAATTACATCTTTGCAGGCTCTGTCATCAAAAGAAAGTTCTGAACAGAAAGAGTTTGAAGACATGGTCAGACCAGAATTAACAGACGAAGAGAAGAAGCGCATTGAAGAGCAGCAGCTCAAGCAGAAGGCTATTACAGAGAAGGATCTGGTAAGTCAAAGGTTCTGGTGAATCAGGAGAGAACTAGCAAAGAGAGAAGTATTGTGTTGTGCTATTAGCTATGCAAATGTGTAAATTAATCTTGATATTGTCTTGAACTTTATAAATACATTATCCTTGATATAACCTTAATTATTTCCCATTTTGAGCTCTGTAGAGAGGGGAGTGGGACAGTGAAGTTCTGTTTGGATTCTTCTGGAGGAATAATTATACAAGATAGATTTTACAGTCCAAATTATACGTGATAAACTTCAAATATGTAGTAAGATAAGTAGAGATTAAACTTCATTTTACAAAGATCCCATTTCTCCAGTATTATATGTATCTTGATCCCTGCTTATACAAGTATAGTTGTGGACTATATCTTGTGTTTCAAACCTCTGATTACGCGGTAAAAAAAGTAGTTATGAAAAGGACTTCAGGGAGTACAGAAAACTGACAATAAAACTTTATTTTTACTGATACATGGTCTTTACTCAGAACTGACTTACTGATTTCTCCTTCTCCCTACTGTTGCAATTAAGAAATAACTTTATCAATTAAAACATAATTTTCTTTCTGTTCTCTTACCTAGCTATTTAACTTCTGACTTTTTATCAATTCAGGTTTCCTATACTGGTTGTAAGAGGTAATTAGTAGGACAAGAATGATAGCATACATTGTGTAGGTTAAAGGAATGGAAGTTTGAAAAGGCCGCAGAAGAGAAATTTCAGTCTAGCGCAGTACTTCATTGGTAGCAGAGTTGACTCACTGTGAGCCTTTTTCTGGCAGCATGGATCATGTCAAGTCTGAACTGTGGCCTTGGCTTTTTTGCCAGTGAGTAGAGTAGTAGTGGAGAAAATAATACATGGCTTTATATTAGTATCAAGAAACAAAAGATAATTTTAGTCTCTTTAAAACAAACAAAAATTAATGTAAGTTTGTTGTATGGAGCATTAACGAGAAAATAACAGCAACATTGGGGCCCAAATAATATTTGAGGTAACAGTTTCATGGACATAGCAGGATAAAAACAGATCTGTGCAGTGCAGAAAGTTGTCTTAAAAGGGGAATTGTAAAGGTTCAGCTTTGTTCAGCTTGTGTTTAAAATCAGGAGATATGGGTGGCTTATTCTGCACATCAGGAGTAAAGGTAAATCACAAGTTACAGACTTAAGTCTGCACTAAAACTATTGCATGTAGAAAAAAATGTTTTATCCCTTAAGTACTAGAAAAAAGAAGATACTTCTTGTGGTCTGTCTCCAAACAGATAGTAAGAAATATACCATAAATATGTCCCCTCATGTGGGTGTTCTTTGTGATCCACCTTCTTGACATTGTGACTGTCTACTAAAAAGGATAAGAAAGGCTTATTGCACTAGATCTTTCTCAATGCTTTTTTTTTTCTAACCTAAATATTACAGGGTAATGGTTATTTCAAAGAAGGAAAGTATGAGTCTGCAATAGAATGCTATACCCGTGGTATAGCAGCAGATGGCACCAATGCACTTCTGCCAGCTAACAGAGCCATGGCCTATCTAAAGATTGAAAAGTAAGTAGGATTGCATGTGCTAGACTGTTTCTTTCTTTGTTGTGAACTAGATGGAAGAATAATTCAGTAGATTTTCACTCAGGTTAAGTTACTGTCACTCCTTCTAACTCTTTAGAATTCACTATAGAATAAATCATGTTGAAAACAGTAAGGGGGAGAGAAATGCTCAATATGTGTGATCTTACAATACATTTCATAGAAAGGAAGTTCTGAGAGAATAAAATAGCATCAGCATGAAATTACAGATTCTGAAGTTTGATTTTCATTCTTCTATGTGTGTAAAATTCTAGATATTCTTATATTTTTCAAAAGATACGCCCAAAGCTTTATGTCTTGACTATAAAACCCAGTCAGCTACGAAAATGTTGCACTGTAAAAAGAAGCAGATTATAACTTCTGACTTCAGAGGGAATGGATAGAAAGTTTTTCTGGAAACTGTCATATTTTAAAATATTTTTTCTTTAACTCCACTAACGGAGACATATATGTATAATTTATTTTTAATTAAGCTTTATTCAAATTAATCCAGTAACAGTAGGAAATACATGCTTTCTAGCAAATGAGAGAAATTCCATATGACCATTTTTGAAGTCTGAATTTTTTTTTGGACTCCCCGATGATATGGCAGTTTAGACATTTTAAACTGGTAGCATGAGAAGCAAAGGGCTGAGCATTATGTTGGTCGTCTGTTCTAACACTACATGACTGGTTATCTGTAGAGACAATACATTGACTTCAAATTATGAGATTATTAAACAGGTTGCACAGGTAGTATTTCTGAGTCAACATTTGTAATTTGGTACTGAAACCATAGAAAACATCATAACGCAAATATTGTTCTCAGAGAATCAGAGGAAGTGATACTTCAATTGAATGACCAAGCAAAGAAAATCAATTCTGTGTGATAAATCAGTGATTCATGGGTCTTTATGTTTCAAAGAGGACCCAAACATAGACTGCAACAGAAGCTCATTGGTATTCTTATACGCTTCTAGAATCGATAAGAACTGAAAAAAACCTCCAGCTGTTTCTTTAAATTTAATGATAGATTGAAGGAGGAGAAGAGAAATGAATGAAAATACATCAATATGCACATAATGGAATCATCATCTAATATAACTGAATATAAGTGGCATGAAGAGATTTGATCTTGCAATGAAGAAAAGGCCAAGTCAGAGAAATTCAGATGTAGAGAAATTTATTCTCATATATGCTTGCTTCTCCTTTCTTTTTTTTTTTTTTGTCTGTTTGTAATGGTATTTCTGTTTTTCAGAAGTATAAAGATATGATGCTGACTTTCATTTTAAGGCTACTTAATGTTTAAAGTGGACTCTGCTACAACAGGCTTTAAGTATTTATTTTCACAGAGGAAGTGAATTTCTCTGTCATGATAAAAAGAGAGCAGTGTGTCATGAGATACCAGAAGATTTGACTGAAATTTCAGGATACTGAGAAATTGTATTTTATAACTTTACTTTTAATTTACATTTTAGCTCAATGGTGTGTATTTATATATATAAGTAATTAAGATCTGTCATCATGTTTTAATTATTTATGGGTAGCTCTGTCTTTTCGGTTGAAACTGCCTCTTGAAACTGACTATTAATTTTGTACTAATTTTTTTGCTGAGGTATGAAGAGGCAGAAAATGACTGTACCCAAGCTCTGCTCTTAGATGCCTCCTATTCTAAAGCCTTCGCCAGAAGAGGAGCTGCCAGAGTTGCTCTTGGAAAGCTAAAAGAAGCTATTCAAGGTATGACTTTAAATTAGCTTAATTATGATAGGTAAGCAATGAGTATAAGAACATCTGGGTTACTTTTGATCTTCTAATAGCAATTAAATCAACTGCTGACTAATTGAGGTTATCAGTGCAAAAGTTAAGAATGGTGGATTTTGCTGTGTTTCATTAAATATGTACAAAACCTTTTGTGTAGATATCCACGTGATCGGAAGGCAGTTTTGGATGAAATTACAACTATTGTTGCTTATGATAAGTAGTAAAAAATGGTTTGAAAAAATGTGTTTAAAAACTAGGTCATGATATATAAGCATTAGGGTTACTTACCTGCCTTTAATTACGTTAGAGATGTGAAAGGAAAATAGTAGTTTTAAAAATTTGCCAGGAGTACTTTGTAACTTGAAGTCTGTAGTTTTCATGTGTTGTTTTTCACTCAGATTTTGAAGCTGTTCTGAAGCTGGAACCTGGAAATAAACAAGCAATAAATGAACTCACTAAAATAAGGAATGTATGTATACTTGTGCTTTTTTAAAATTCTATTGTAAGCTTATAGTGATAGAATGTCTTCATTCTTTATTTAATTTTGAACATATCCTATAATTATTCCTCACACTTCTGACCGTTTGGACAATTTACCATTTTCCTTCAGGAATTAGCTGAGAAAGAACAGTGGACTCATCAAGAATATCCTGCAGTATTGATAAAAGAAACAGAAATAAAAAATATAGTGAAACTGATTGATAATCCATTGCATCTGAAATCAACAGTAAGTTGTTTTGTTTTGTGAGTTGCTTTCCATAACGATGGGAAAAGTAGCAACTAAAATTAAAATCCACTTATTGCTTATTTATGTAGACTAACTTCTGATAGATAAATCTTGCTTGTGGAAAGCCCAAAATTTGCAGATTTACTCCTTTGATGTTTTTTGAATAACATGACTTCAGTATTTGCATGTGTATGTAAGAGTAGCGGTGGTGTAAGCATTCAACCTACAGTACCACGTTCAGGAAACGCGGTGTATGCCGCTATCTGTAATATGAAGTGGGGAGGCAACCCCAGAACCCTGTCCTGGGTCCAGAGATAACATTGCAGTTGAGAATAAAGGGGAGGCAGTGAACTCTCTGGTTTGTTTGCAGACTTGAGAAAGCTCTGGGTAAACTCCCTTTCTTTTTGTCTGTTTACAGTTTCTATAGCAGCTGTAGTGGTAACGCTATGTCGCCTACCTGTGGCTACCCATGACACACACTGGTGTCACCTAAGGCTATTGCAAGAGTCTTGAGCCTGTGTTTTCATCCACATAAAGGGTAGAATAGCTAGGTATTGGGTTTCGAGAGGCAGTATTTTTGGACTATGAATTGTCAGTGGTTATAGTCAGATTGATGAGTTATGTATGACAAAATATGGTAATACAGAGAGTAATATCAGCTTTATATGTTAGGTTTCCCCTTTTAGTACATTTAAACTTTATACATTCATCAGTGAATTGTGTAAATACAAAGCATGCTCATGCTTTGTATGGAGTACTGTAGTGTTCTGCTCTTGATAATTTCAAAATATTTGTTTACCTCCATTAAATATATAATTCAGATGGATAGTTTTTGTAGAAAATGCATGCTTATTTTGATCTTTTTTGGGGGGGGGAGGTGGGCATGGCAGAGTATTATGCACTCTATAACTAGATACGATATTTCTAGAAACCTAAATGAATTTGTTGTGAAGTGGCTGAAATACTAGACAATTATATTAAGTTTTCAGTATGGCTGCTACATTAAGTGGAGGCACTAGGTTACTTTCTTTTGTTATTCAGTTAAGGTATCTGTGCTTTTAGTACTGCCAAAGGATTGTAGAGAGCACTAGTTTTGTTTCATTTCCATCAGGCAGCCTCCCATTTTTAGCTCAATGATGAGATGGTATATCTTCAAAGCAAACTGTGTATTGTCTGTCAGTACACCAACAAGACAGTTTGGGTTTTTTGTTTTGTTTTTTTTTTTTTTTTTCATGATTTAAAGCTGTTTGCAAACTGCTATAAACACTTTGATGGGATTGTGTTAGAGTTGGTCAGAGAAATCTGCCACATCTAGAAGTCTATATTGTTGAGTATGTTTAATTGTGTGTATTTGCATCTGTATTTCTAGAGCAATATAGGCTATGTTTATGTTCAGGACATGAAATTCCAAGGTAGAAAGCAATTAATTCTTTTCTTCCCCCCACCTCCCAATGGTGCTTCCGTGTAAGACCTGGGAAGGTGGTGCTAGGTAATGGCCAAAAATAATGGTAATAGTACAGAGATTAAACGAGCTGAAGCATTTTAGTTAGCGTGTCCTCTAGTGGTAGAATTAATTGATTTATGATATATGTAATTTGGTCAATGAGCAGGGCTGAGTTAGATATCTCAAAATTTTCATGTTGCTGGATGGATACTTGTTTAGCTGGATTAAAAAGCTTGATCGGGTCATTGGTCAAAATATATGGTAGTGCTTGCCCATTCTACCTTAGTAGGTGAAAAAAAATTAACTAAATTTTTTGTTATTACTGGGAAAACAGAATACAGATTCTGAGATCCTCTAGAGTAAGGATACAGTGGTCTATGAGGGTAAAGCAATAAAATGATCATATAAGACTTCTGTAGAATGTCATGAAGTTTTCTTTTTTGCCATTTATCTTTATTGACAGTATCTTTCATGTGCAGTGCTACGGATGAAACTGGTTATCATGAGATTATTTAAAACTAAACACAGCTGTTTATCTGAGGCCTGTATATACACTGATATTGAGGCTACACACATGACATGACCTATGTGTTCTGTTTAGAAGCCTCTGCAAAGAATACCCATTGAAGAAATTGATGATGACACACCAAATAGTGATGTGCCCAGCTCTACTGCTTTCATCAATAACTGGAGGAATTCAGTGAGTGTTGAAACAACAGAGAGTCTGGATCAGAATGATCAGTTGACTACAACAGACGTTCCAAAAGCAAAGCACTTGAAAATAGAAGAAATCAGTGATACATCACCATTAGAGTAAGTATAAAAATCCTGATCCTCTTATGTAATATATGTAAGAAATGTAATCTTCAGATTCCTACATGTGATGAGGTATCAAACATACTTTGGAGAATTTGAATTAAAAAGAAAATATTGCAAGAAACTGCACTTCTAACGTGTGCCCTTTGATCGCATAGTGCTTGAGACAAGTATGATCTATTTAGTGTCAGGTGGAAAACTAGTCTTGTTCTTACATTTCAAATATAAAGAAATTAATCATATTTTCCTGTATGCCATATTCTCTTCCTTGTGCACTTCATCTTCCCTAGATGTGTTTTTTATTTGTAATATTTTAGAGTAGATGCTGAGCAGAGTTCAAGCATTCTTTGCACACCAGTTGTGTGAGAGAAAAGGAGCAGATGAGTGTCACCACTCTTTCCTCTGCTGCGCAGCCAGCTGATAACTTCAGGTTTGCTTGAAGTTTGCAAGTTCCACTGTGTTAGCTAGACAAACTCAAGTCTGGCTGAAACTAGGCTGAAGCCACTATCCTAGCTTTATCCTTGCAGAGTGTTGGAAATCTACTTGCTGGCTGCTGAGGAGAGCTCTGTATGAGTTGGCATCATCTCATTCTGTTAATAGTAAATACATTTTATGGAATTTTGATTGAAGAATTTTTGAGAAACACCCTCCTTCACCCACCTTTTTCAGCTCAGTCAGATGGATTTACTGTGAAGTGTTGAAGAAAAAAAGTATATTTCTTAACCATTTTATAACTTCCCAAAAAATAAATGGACTTAACTGGCAAATTATAGGACAAAAAAAATAGCTCCACTGTAATCAGTGTTGAAAATAGTTTGTTCATTTGACATGGTTATTGGTTTTGCATAGTGAAATTGCAGAAAATGTAATTATTTTTTTTGCAGCTGTGTGTGGTAGAAATCTGTGCTATAAAATGCAGTTAATTCCAGAAACAAAGTAGAAAAGGGCTGAGTATATTTGTAAGTATTTGCAGGTGTGGGTTTTTTTTTTTTTTTTAAGAAAAGATGAATCAAGTATAAAGCTTCCCTAATTTGAAGGGGTTTTTTAGATACTTGCTTAAACTAGAGTACATTATTTAAAAAAAAAAATTATAGTATTTTAGTTTTTTTTTAATGAATTGAAAGATCTCCAGTTAGGTCTTGGTGTAGGATTTCCTTAAATGTTTTCTTGATTACATGTTTCAAAATCTCTGCAGGCTTCCTGCTAATGTGAAAGGAATTTCATCAGTGTCGCATCCATCTTTCCCTGTGAACAAACAGAGAGAAAAAGAAATCAAAAGGTCATTTAAATCTATTTCTCCAGTCCCTGCTATTCCTGCAAATTCCTTCCAGCTTGAGTCTGACTTCAGGAAGTTGAAAGACTGCCCAGAAAATATGTACTTGTACCTGAAGGTATGAAATGTAGTATTGATTAAAAGTGCTTGGGCAGTTTCTTCAACTGACATTGAAGAAACAGCACAAACTTAGGTGGGAAGGGTAGCCGTGTTTAGGGTGTCTTAAGTGTACAGTAGTCCCTTTCTTTAATTGCCTTCACATAACACTAAGTAGTTTGATCCATATTTGAGTATTTCTCCTCTTGTGCCTGACTTCTCACTTACCTCGCTTTGAGTACAGTCTCTGCATAATCTGTCTCTTCTTTCAAACATAGGCCCTGATTCTGTGAAGACTTATATACATTAGTAACCGTGTTACATTTTGATCTTTCAAATGAATGCTTCTAGGGTAATTAGACATAGAAACATTCTTACCTCTTTAAACTGAACAAGTCCTTGAAACACATCAATCTACTTAATGTGTACTTCTGCTTATACATATTTTGAAAAAAAATTGCTTAGAATTCTTTTTAAAAGTTAGCAATCATCATCACAAAACCCCCCCAAAACTCATGTTCAGTGTCAAATAGTGCAAATGATTTGTTTTTCTTTGGTTTTGCTTTTATGCATTCCAGCATTGTCCAAGACATCCTAAAAATTAATTTATGATTCTCATATTCTCATGACTCAACTTTATTTTTTTGCCTAAAAATAACACTTTTTTTAATTTTTCCAAAGCAAATAGAGCCTTCGCTTTATCCAAAACTGTTTCAGAAATCCTTAGATCCAGACTTGTTTAACCAGATACTGAAAATTCTACATGATTTCTACATTGAGTAAGTTTAACTCGTCCTTTGTTGTACGTTGCTTATTGCTATTCTGGGTTTTTTGCATTTCCCGCCCCCCCTTGGCTTACAGAATTATTTCCAGCTTGTAGAGTTACATGAGCATGATGCAATAATTGCAATGATTCAATTGTTCCTTCTTAAGAAATTAAACGTATCTTGAAAAATCAGATGGAAAGGAAGTAAAGAAATAAATAGTCTTTACTGTATGTTGGTGAATCTGAAACTGAATATAAGACTGTATGAAATAATTTTTGTTCATATTACTGTGTATGTTCTGTTATCACATATAATTGCACATTATGAGTTTTCTATATTAACTTACTAAAGCTGAGAAATAGAGGGTTTAGTATTTGTGCAGTGCTTATTGTGATGCATTCTGACTTTTATTTTTAATTACATGATAGCACTTTACAGTAGCCTGTAGTAAATGTGTATTGGAGCTAGAAGCTCTGATAAGACAGGACCTGACAATTATTTCTGAAATTTCTATCCATGCTACCATTTGAGTCTTAAAGTTCATTTTGCCTGTCAGAGGCAGTGTACCACTTCTCTGAATTACTTTGAGAGCACACACTCAGAATGTTTTTAAGGTAGTGTCTTATGGTAAAAAGCAAACATAAATCAATGTTAGCCTTTCCCTCGGTTTCTTTAAAAGAAAATATCCATGATGTGGGTAAAACGTGACATCTTAAGAGATACGGTCCTACGTTTGGTGGTGTGACACGTAAAGGCTAGGAAGTTGAAATTGTTTACAGTAAGACATTTCTTCTAGAGGGAGGCAGGACAAGTTATGAAAAAAAAAATACTACTACTTGTTAGTATTTGTAACAAAGACATTTTTGCTGAGCTTCCTGTGGCCACAGGTGTCACTTCACCTCACACACCCCGGTATGCATAAAAATGGTGATGTGATGGCAAGATGTAAGCATTAAATCATATAATGACTATTTTGTACATGAACAACAGTCAGTTTATATCAGTCTAGGTTTTTATATTTCTTCACTCTTCCTCTGTATCAGAATGATACTTGCATAAAGATTCCTGGATGTTGACTTTTTGCTTCATGGGTGGAAGAATTAACAGGAAATATAAGGAAAGCAGGGAATATGAGCAAGAAAGAGAAGGGAATTCCATTGATCCTTTAATTTCTTGTTCCTGAAGTCTTTAATATTGCTTGCAGCTGTTAAATCTTTCTAATCAGGAGTAGTTATTTTTATATTTCTAATAATCTTCTTCAGGAAAGAGGAGCCATCACTCATCCTTGAAATCCTCCAGAGGCTATCTGAATTAAAAAGATTTGATATGGCAGTGATGTTTATGTCAGGCTCAGAGAAAAAAAGTAAGTGATTCAGTAGTGTCCTTTTAAACTTCATTTGTGATACGGTAGAATCTAGCAAGAAAGATGTAAAATTTAGTGCTGCTATTTATTCTATGTAATAATCAGTTTAGTTATGTAGCTTTTTTGATTGTTTTCTAAGTTAATATGAATGTCATGTAATTTTTTTTAATCTTTTGATTCCTTATTAATTGTTAAGACTTGAAAACTGCAGCTAAGTCCTCTTGTTTTTATTGGTGCATTTTAGTCTGATACAGTAAGCTTCTCTAGCATTTCAGTTTGTAGCTGGTAATGTTACAAATTTATGAAGTTGTATGAAACCTTGCAATTCAGATACAAGGTATCTAAATTACACAGTTTCCACAATTTATGACTGTTTCTTGGCAATCCTGATTTTCCTTTGTCAAAACAAATGCAAACGTCTCTTAAACCACTCGGCCTGGTCATCTGTCCTGTTCTTGAGACATCATTTAAATTAGTTTGCAATTCAAGTGGACATTGGCCTGAGTTCATTGTTTATAAAACTTTTTTTTTGTCTCAAATATTTTCTTTATTTAGCACACCAGACAGACTATGTATCAGTGAGACACTTACAAGCAAAACATTTATCTGGGACCAAATAATGTCAAATTTACTGTCTACAGCTGAGTTTCACTAATAACCATTATACTTTCAAAATTTTGATAGGTGAATCTCCTTAAAATAAAATTACTTGTTTGACTTAATGAAGTGCAAGTAAATTTCTCTTATGAATTGCATTCATGACTTTAACCTGATGTAAGCTTTATCTGCCATCTGGCATTAACTTTTATCTTCTGCATTTAATGGCATAGTGCCAAGATAGTAAACAAAATAAAAGCTGTCTCTTTATGTTGTCAGGGTTGTAAACCTGTTTAAGGAAATGGTGTTAGGCAGCTCGTGGGCATCAGAACAAAGCGAGAGCTTCCCTTTGCTACTTCTTTTCATCCTCTCAGTAGTTCTAAAAATTTACTCATATTTCAGCTATCGAACCCTTACTCTGGACTAATTTACTGTAAAAGTGTGAATAACAAAAAGTTTATGTTGGTATTTTCTTTTACAGTTGCACAGGTATTGTTCAATCATGTGAAACACACAGGATTGAAAGATACTTCTGTTGAAGAATTGGAGAAGAAATACGGTGTTTTCTCATAGTGACATGACTGACGTGTAAATTTCTGTTTCTGCATTTCTTTCATCTGGAAATCAGCTGAAGAAGCCTGTAAAGACTGGAGTTTTGTTGCTTTTGTATAAGTAATGAAACTCTCAAACTTGGTTTAGCCAAATGGCAAGTGTCGAGAGAGATAATTACCTAGTTCTGCAGGTACAGTTGTTTTCCAGCACCTGAAACTAGACAGGTCTACATTGTCTTCAGTGGAATCTGTTTGCCTGAAAAAAAACAACTGAGCAGTTCGGCAATCAGGATTAGGACTGTAGATAGAGATCTTTATTAAAAGGAAAAATAAATATTTATAAACATGTCTTTGGTAAGAATCAAATGGTGTATATTACAAATGTGCATGTCTCTTATTTTAGAAAATAAACTGAATGTTGAATTGAAGATAATAAATTAAGGAATTTTTTTTTATTAAGGTTCCTAAATCATTCTTCTCTAAGGATATACCACATCAGAACATGCAGTATGCAAAGTGAACCTGAGGTATGATGGCCAAAAAATTCCAGAGTTCTTTTGTTTGAGTTTACCCAAAACCTGAGTTTTAACATTGACAGTTGAGAGGTTCCTGTGAACCTCAACTGTAATTGCAGAATAGAAAGAAGCCAAATACTGTAGAGTTAAGCTAAAAGTGTAACTAAAAACACTTCTTGTCATCTTCATAGGGTACTTCTAAAATATTCTAATGAAACTTACATTTTGTGTCAGTTGTTCCTAACCAGCTAAAGCCCCTAAGAAGCCTCAGGAAGGCTAAGCAGAATACCTTTCCAGTATGAAGAAGGCAAATACGTGAAATCACTTGAAATTCTTAGATAAGAAATAGCATTAATAATAACCTATTCATACTGTTCACATGACCAGAAGAAGGAAATAACAGCACTTTTCAACTATATTGCAAGATTTAACTGTAGTATCCAAGTAGTGGCATCTAAAAATTTGCCCGTCTCAAGGCTTGACCATTGTCTCTTTCATCCTCCTGATACTAACATTCTGTCGGTTTGCTTTCATCCCAGTTCAGCCCTTGTGCTTTAATGATCTTTAATGATGCTACTCTGACTGTGGAAGCCTTCTGACAGTAATGATTTTGTTTCGGTAGTTGTGCAAGTTTAATCATTCAGAGGAGTGATTAAACAGCTGTAGCATTCAAAAAGACTTCAACCTTCCAAAATGGATTGATAGGAAAAAGTATGAATGTAGTCAGTGTTAGAAAACCAATTTTAAAACACTTTCAGCTGTGTAATGTCCTAGTTCAGATATAATCCAGTTAAAAAAAAAAAATAACAAAAAAACAAAACCAAAAACAAAACAGTAACTGAGTTACATCCTTGGGCTGGGTAGCAACGGACATGAATGGAGCACTAGATCCCTGAGGTAGCTTCCTCTTAGCCCTGGAACTGAGCACTAGGGGAATAGCCAGTGTTACTGGGGAAATGGCAGAGCCTTTATGTAACGCTGCTTGCAGCTTACCTATCCCATGAACTGTTAGTACTAGGCGTGTCTCAACTGGCTGTTTCTTCCCCATGTTGTAAAATGTATTGGGATAGTGTTGTAATTAATAAAAGTTGAGGGGGGGAGTAGATGCCAAGGTAATTCTATATACCTTTGTAGATACTGTGTACCTTCTTATGGGCTGCTAGGAGTTGCTCAGTGTAGAGCACAAGTGTATACCTGACTAGCTGACGCTACTAGATCATTTGGTACTTTCTCAGAAGCTGCTGCTTGAAGGTTGTTAGATGAAAACAGGTGCTTGTTAATATGGAATGGATCTTTGACAGTAAAAGCAAGATGACAGCAAAAGGATTTGAAAACTGTAGGCCAGGAGTCACCTACAACTCCATCCAGTCTGCTATGCTTTTAATGAGAATAAGGTGTTACATTTGGTCTCTGGTCCCGCTCCTGCTTTTATGGAGATTTCTGTTTGGGATTTGCACGTGGTAAGGAAGGTTGAAAGGAAGCTGTTCGAGCTTGTAGAATTCAGTGGGGTAAATGGGTGGACCTGATTCATGTTGCTACAAAACTTAGGCCATGAAGTTTTATCTTGCAAGTGGTACACTACTGTAGCCTTTTGCTTGTATTTCTAAATGCTACATCTGATGGGGACTTGCAAAGTCCCCAAGATTCCTTTTAAGTGCACAGAAAATAGTGCAAGATGGAGAGCAGAACGCAGGCATTCAGAGAACTGCTAGCTTCACTTGTTCCAGGAGATGGCAGTGTTTTTCCCTTATAAATGGTTAAAGATTACCAAATATCTGAATTAAAGACTTAAATGAAATGCTGAGAAGATTTATAGATCTGAGGTAGATCAAGAATTCTTTTTGGGGAGAGAGGGAGATTTTTTTTTTTCTTCTGTTTTTTTCTTTTTTTAAATCCAACACCTCAATGGTTACGTCCCTATTGTGTCAGTGGAAAGAAGTTTTGAGGTAAATAGCGTGAGGTAATTAAGCAGTGTGAAATAATTTATAGCCCTTTGCAGTATTATGGCATTCAAGGTGTCAAAAATCTGAGATCGTGTTTACTGCAGTCAGTGACTGATTCAGACTCACCTTTTGAATGATGCCTTTACTTACAAGTATTAAATGTTTTTTTTAGCTTTTTAACTTGTCAAGGTAATTTTTTTAAAAGTTGTCCTCCAGTATATCTGAGAGACACTCAAACTCCATGTTGTCTATTGATTTCATAATCTAGATTGTTAGAATACTGATGGAAGTGATCCTAAGACATGCTTCCACAGAGCATTTGTACAGCTTTCCATTTTGATAGTAGACTGTGATTTTATTTTTTTCTTTTGTTACAACTCTAGCTCTGCATTCATACAGTAATAGTTTCATCTGAACTGTGTTTGTCTTGCTTATAAGCATGTCCTGTGATATTCAGATGTCAGGATAAAGACACTTCATCTACTGCTTTGTCATTATACTACTGTGAAAGAAAATATGTTAACATAACTTGTTCCTGGCCAACTTGGGTCAGTTACGGTGGAAAACATAAATGAGGACAGATGGAGTACTTGTTCCAAAATATTTTTTAGAATTTAAAATTAATGGTCTTGACTCCGGTCAGGAAGTTTTTGCTGTTTGTCATTTTCTCTCTCTTTCTGTTTAAAAATAGACATTTCAGCTTGTCTAATTCTCAAATATAACTACTAGTACTACTACTGGTTTGGAGGCTACTTTTTTTAACATAGTATTAATAGAGAATTAACATACCAATTTTTGACATATCTTATAGAGAAGTCTTTTGGGCCCAGAGAACCTGTGAACATCGAACTTCAAGAAGCTTGCATTCCAACCCATTCTTTTCTTTTACTAGGCAGAGGTCTTTCTTTGTCAATGATGTGAATACAGTTGCTTACAGTTGCCATCACTAGGGAATACTGAAGTGAAAACAGCCATCGAACAGTTCATTTCTAATATCATCAGCTGTCAGTTGTTTCTCTTCCATCTTGCATAACTGACACTTCCCTTGATTTTTTTCTTTTAATACAGGTACACTTACAGAGCAATCTCTTCTTCCTCTCCTCAACTGCTGTTTATTTTGTTTTCCTCTTTTGGTTCTGGGATGGCCCCTGAGTTGTCTTGTTTCTCTTACTTGATAATTATTATATAATCTATCCTCATTTCCATTACTTATGCTTTTCTCTTCTGAGATCACTGAAAAGCTCTTTGGTGGTCAGGTTGGTCCCTTTCTACACTTGCTATCCTTTCCTTTGGCATGATTTGAGCTTGTTATCTTGATATAATTTATTTGGGAGCTGCCAGGTCTCCTGTACCCTTTTCCACCCTTAGATTTTCCTCCTATGAAATATTATTGAGCAGAGTTAGAACAGAGGAAGTAGAGAGAAGACTAAGTGCATGAAGCTTTCAAAGTTGCATTTAGGTGCTGTCATGTCTAGGCAGCTTGAGATTACTGTCAATATTAGAAACTAAGCATTTGGTTCATTAAATAGACATTCTCTTTTCCCTCTTCCACCGATGTCCCATCTGATGGCGACTATAAGCCAAGGAGGCTTTCTGCCACTAGTTTGTTTTTTTTCTTTCTGTAAATTAGTGCTTTTCTAGGAGTAGCAAGAAGGTCCTTAATAAAAGCATAGGGCTATACATTTGTTGACTCTCATTTCTCCCCAGGTAAGATTCACCCTGCAGCTTTTCTTTTGTAGCAGCTGTCAGTCACACTATATTTTTCTTTCTTGGATCTTACAGAGCCAGTGATGTTCTGAATTGCATTGTATCACTGCTGCCTTTGCAAGATGCTTTAGTAACTTCCTTAATGTGTATTTCTAAGGGTTGTGTTATTCAGAGGACAAAATTACCCTGCAAAATCCTTTGTTATTCATTATCCTTGAGAGAAGGAAACTAGCCTGACATCTCAGGAACACATCTTAAGTTTGAATCTAGTCTTCATTTAATATTAGCAAGTGCAAGTCTGACAAAGTACCTGGCACTGCATTAGTGATTAGTCTGACTTTATCTGCTTTGCTGGTTAGGCTTAGAGGAAATACAACTTTTGGAATAAAGGGTGAACTTGTGTTTTTCACTGTTGTCACATCTCTTAAGTATGCAGTTCAGCCTGATTTGCAGCAGTGAAGTTGTGTGGGTTTTATGCATGTCTGTTCCTTTTTCTTTGTACTATTTCACATGATCTGTTTGTATCAGATCATTCTCATTACATCTGTCACCATGTGCCAATTCACTCTCTGAATTTCAGCCTTCCTTTTCACTGTGCCCTTTGTTTTCCATCAGGTTTGAGACATTGTATTCTCCACTGCCTTCCCTCTCCTGTCATTAGTTACAAGCAGCTCAGCCTCTAAGTGTCATTTGAAGGCTCCTTTTAGTTTACTAAAAATTTCTGCTCAAGGCTCTTTGTTTGTGAAAGCTCCTTCCAACCTTCCAACAGCTGTGCTTCTTCAGGCTCCGTTATGTAGGAATATTCCACTCTAATGTCTGGCTTTATAAACTGAAGCAAGTACAGCATAGAAACCAAGGGAATTCATTTTTTTCCCCTCTTTATTTCCTATTCAAGTGGTTGCTGAGTTCAGTTGTGGTTGGATACGCTGGAATTTCTTCTTTCTTCATAGTAGCAGAAAGTAGTGTTTGCTTTCCAGACATCATCTTCAAACTATAGTCATTCCAATCTGTCTTGTGACAGTTGTTGCATTAATAAAGTTTAAGATAGCAGGGTAAAAGATAAGTTTGGTTTCTGGTTCCTTAATGCCAAATAAGTCTATCTGGGTTTTAAAGCAAGAAATATACCATTAGGCACAAATATTGGTTACATTAACCAATAGCTGAGTATACAAAAGTCTTCCTTTTCCTGATGACTGATGAGATAGGACATATTGATGTTCTGTATAAACTATTAAAGTCTTGTTTTGTGGTTACATTCTTGGACATGTCTGCCACAATGAGCTGAGCAGCAGATTGGAGTCTAAGTGAGGAAACCCACAAAAACCTCCAAATAAACAAAAAAAAACCCAACCCAAACAAACAAACAAAAAAAAAACCTCCAGATTTTTGACTTTTACAATGTATTACAGGAATGACTGCTTGTACTTCAGGCTGCAAGGGCATGTACTTAGAAGCAACTTCCTTCCTAAAGAATCAGCAGTCTGTACAAATATCACCAAAAAGCAGAGAAGAGATTAAATGATTGATTTGCCCAGGTGTGATTGAGATGGGAGAATATTATCTGACTCCTTACGTCAAAATCTGGTGTCTTTCTGGCTACACCAGGCTGAGTACTCAGTTTGACAAGTGGTGCTTGAATTTGGTTTATAATGAATTGCTATCACTTCTGGAAAAATCAGGGACGCTTTGCTGACTTCAGAAAAGTGTACTCCAGAGTCTTTGCTGGGAAGTGGAAATGCTGCCAACTTCTAAAATAGCCTGAAATTCAGACTGTTGAAATAAGTAATGAGCTACTGCTGTACACCAAAGCCTGTGTGTAACACCATGTAGCACATGAGCCTTGAGGGCTCCAATTCTGTCCTTGTCTTTGCATTTTATGATTGGATTCTGGTGACTGTGAAAATTAGCAAGGCTATTACAGGGTTACATCTTATTAAATGCAGTATTTAAGTGAAAATGTGTGTATATTTTCAACAGATGGGTAAAAACATTCTAGGGAATATTTTCCGTACAATCTGTAACAAAGAAAGTACATGAAATAAATTGCCAGACCTCTGAGATTTTCTTCTGCTTCATATTTCATTCTTCTGTGGACAAGCTTGTCTGATTGATTGGTAAAGTCGGCATTTCTCACTCAAAAATCTGCAAGCATTAATTGAGCTTAAGGAGAACATCATCTTTGTTTAAATTTTTATCATCCCTAGGCTTTAAAATTAAAGTAGGGGAGAGTAGATTCTCTCCTTGCACTGGTTTACAACTGTCAAGCTTTGGCTTGATCTGACCTTGAAAAAGCCCTTGTCCTGTGTCCCACCCCCACGTACTCAAAATGCTGCTGCAAGTGACTTGATGCTGCCTGAAAATGGGTACAGACCCCAGCAAAGTGGGATCTTAGGTGGCTGGAGCCTTTCTGAGGAGCTGAGAAGCAACCTCTACTTCATTTCTGTCTTGAATTTCAGAGATATCTGGGTAAAACAAACTCTTTGCAGCTTGATTAACTGTTTGCCTGCTTTGTTCAAATTGTAACTCTGTTGTGCTCTTTGGAATACAGAGCCCTGTGAGCCCCTGGGGCTCTGCTTTCTGCTTGTCTTCCTGGCTTTCACAGAGCCCTGGCTGAGGCAAACACCCTGTGGGTATCGAACAGGGACTTGTAGCAGCAACTTGTGGTCACTGGTTCATGATGGCACGAAGTCCTTCCTCCTGGGGTTTGCAATCTAAATATATAATGTGTGGCACAGTCTCCCCACTGCTGATGATGTGGGACTGAATGCTTAGAGAGACTGAGGAGAAACTTCCCTTTTTCCAGTAAAACACTTTCTGTGAGTGGTCTGAATGGACTCAGTGATTTTCCCTGGAGTGAGGAGGATTCAGCTGCCCACCTGTGAGGGGGGAGAGAGGGTACATCTCTCTGGGCTGTGATGGAGGTAGGGCCATCAGCTGACAAATCACATCACCCGGGATGCAGGAGATGATGTTCCTCAGGGGTCGGTATTGGGCCCAGTGCTGCCTAGCATATTTGTTGGAAACATGGACAGTGGGATCAAATGCACCCTCAGTAAGTTTGTCAACACACTGGAGAGAAGGGATGCCATCCAGAGGGACCTTGAGAGGTGGGCCTGTGTGAACATTATGAACTTCAATAGGACCAAGTGCAAGGCCCTGTCAGACCATGAGTCGGGTCAATCCCAAGCACAAATACAGGCTGGGCCATGAGTGGGTTGAGAGCAGCCCTGCAGAGAAGGACTTGGGGGTATTAGCGGATGGAAAACTGACTGTGAGCCAGCAATGTGGGCTCGCAGCCCAGGAAGCCAACCGTGTCCTGGGCTGCATCAAGAGAAGTGTGGCCAGCAGGTTGAAGTAGGGGATTTTCCCCTGCTACTCCAGTCTCATGAGCCCACCTGGAATACTGTGTCCAGCTATGGGGGTCCCAACATAAGAAGGACACAGACCTACTCAAGTGGGTCCAGAGGAGGCCACGAAGATGATCAGGTGGCTGGAGCATCTCCCTTATGAGGACAGGCTGGGAGAGCTGGGGTTCCTTAGCTTAGAGAAGAGAAGGCTCCAGGGAGACCTCATATCAGCCTTCCAGTAGTAACAGGGGGCCTGCAGGAAAGATGGGGAGGGACTGTTTGTCAGGGAGTGTAGTGATAGGATGAGGGGTAACAGTTTTAAAATGAAATAAGGTAGATTTAGATTAGATATAAGGAAAAAATTCTTTCCTGTGTAGGTGGTGAGGCACTGGCACAGGTTGCCCAGGGAAGCTGTGGATTCTCCTTCCCTGGAAGTGTTCAAGGCCAGGTTGGACGGAGCTTTGAGCAACCTGATGTAGTGGAAGGTGTCCCTGACCATGGTGGGGGGGTTGGAACGAGGTGATCTTTAAGGCCTCTTCCAACTGGTTTTACCAGTGTGAGCGTCACCTTGTTCCCAGCGTAATGCAGGAACTCAGTGACTGGGGGCTGAAGGAGACAGGAGTTTCTGTTTCACAGGACTAAAAATCAGCATATTTTTAAAGACTTTCAATATTTCAATCTCAATTTCAATATTCAGTCTTATTAACATTTCTCTCTACTTCAATAAAATCTAAACATTAATGAATATTTTTAACATGAAATTTGGAGAAGCTAGGAACTGGACAAACCCCACTAGCCCTTTTTGAGCCCTGGGTCTGTTTTAGTAACTTCAGCTAGCTTTCTTCTCTCAGAATTACATTTTGTCCTTGTCTTTGTCCTTTCATGCTTTTGCCTGTCATATACCAGTTTTATGTGAAGCCAGCTGTACTAAGGACAGATTCCTCCGGTCAGAGTTTCCAATATCAGATTTTGTCAGAATAACTCTGCTGGTTCAGAAGAAAAGAAATTTGGCTTGATCAGGATACCCACGTGCTGCATATAAAATACACAGAGAACCTTCAGCTGTATTCCTACCTGGTTTGTGCTGATAGAAACAGGAACCCACCCTTACCACCCTGCCAGGGCTCCAGTGTCAAGTAATTTCAGGAAGCTTCTTTCTCCAACTACCGTAACACCATTGCAAAATGTCATTATAGGGATCAGTTGCTGTGTTCAGAGGCTGACTAGGGGTCTTGTTTGTTCCTGTTAGCTGTCTGGGGTAACAATATAGGGCTCTTCATCTTAAGACTCTCAAACCTTAGAGCTTGATAAAGAAAGTTTGTTTATCATTTCCAGTTGCCTAATGCATAAAGCAGAGCTTGTTCTAATCATCATTCCCTTCTTCCCCCACCAATTCCCTCTAGCCTGGTACTTGCCATCCTTCAGCCTACCTGTTCTCTCTGTCATTGCCAGTTCCTGGCCGAATATAGCCCATGCATTCGTCATAACAAGAGAGACATTTTGGATGGATTGAATTAAATCAAATCAGAACAATAGACTAAAGCAGCATTTTCAGGCACCTCAATGTATTTGACCTCCCTATGTACAGGATTTCCCCAGATACAGTATTGCACACAGACAAATTTAAAAAATTAACAAGATGGCTATTTCCAAACTGATGAATATCTGTTGGGAGGTTGCCAAAGACACAAGTGACAGTTCGATGCCCATGTGCCTCTGAAACCTCAGGAAAAAACAGCTGCATTATACAGCCTACAGGAGCAGTGCTATATCCAGCCTTATTACAGACTACAGGGACACTTGGACTAATCAGTACTCAGGAATAGAAGGGAAACCAGACGATGAAGTAAGTGACAAGACCAAGTCCTCCCATCATTATTTTCCATGATTATAATGAATCGACCTGTGTTGAGAATTGCCCCACTTTTTGTATAGTCCCATGCCTCAGGCAAGTTCCTTCCCAGAAATTAGTTATTGTCCCATAAGTTCAAGATTTGGAATATTTTTTTTGTTTTCAACTTTATCAGTAATACATGACCATGCTGTTTATCCTTCTACTTAGGCTTTTTCTTCTCTAACTGTTAGGTTCATGAAGGAGCAAAACAGGTTTGATTAGTTTCAAAGTCATGTGGAAAATTGAAAAGACATCATCACAGAAGGTCTCTCTTTCAACAGAAATTGGCTGTGTCACCCTGCTAACTATAAAACCTTTCTCAAAGAGCTAATTTGCAAGTGTTGATAGTTTGGCAGGTTTTTTTATTATTATTGAAAGCTTTCTGGGTTTGCCACCCTGGTGTCTCAGGCCACAAATTATTAGAGGAGCTCTCATATGTCATCTATGACTTGAGACATTTACAGAGAACTTGATTTCCCTCAGGAAATATTTTTCAGGTAATTCTGCCTGAAGATAGACTGGTATGTGACTTCTTTGCTTTTTTTCCTAGATTCTTGTAAATACACTCTTTCCTGGAGAAAAGAGAATTAATATTTCCAATAAATCTCTCCTAGATTTACTCTCTTCTTTTCTAGCCTATCCATTCTACCTCCTGTATGCTGCCTTTCTGTGCTGGAGCTCTGCTATGAGTCTCCTGTTCAGCCAAAATAACTCCTGTCACAGAATATCAAGGTGGACCCCACCTGTGCTTGGAGGATGCTGTCCTTAAAGGCTTGCCAGCTCTCCTGAGATCATTTCAGAGCTGCCCCATGGGATCCCACCTACAGATTCCTTGAACAAGCAGCAGTCTGCTCACCTGGAGTTCAGGATCTGAGTCGTTCTGCATTTTTTCTCACTCCTCACAGGATCTTGGACCCTACCATTACGTGGTCACTACAGCCCTGGCTGCCACCAACTATTACGATCCCAGTTGACTCTTCCTTGTCAGTGAATAGCAGATTCTGGAGAGCACTGCCCTGCTTGACCCACCCAGTACCTGTATCAAGAAGTTCTCCCTGACACCTCCAAAAATCTTCTTCAATAATTGTGCCCTGCTGTGTTGCCCTTCCAACAGATGAAAGGCTAAAGTGCCCCAAAGAATAAGAGTCTGTGACACAGAGGCTTGAGCTGTTTAAAGAAGTCTTTGTGCTTGCGCTCGACTTGATCAGATGAGGTGGTATCCTCCCAGTGTGATGCCACACTCACTGGTCTCTCCTCCGGTCATGATCCATGAGCCCACACCCAGCCCATCACCTCTCCATGGAAATGTTCTGCACCTCTGAGCTGCTTCTTTGCACAGAGGGCATCTCATCTCTTCTTCACTGCCTGTCTTACCTGCAGAGCTGGCACACACCCTTGCAGGCTGTCCCAGCAGCTCTCCAGTCCTGCAGCAATGCCACAGCCCCTGTGTCCTCACTGGAGTGCTTGTCCCTCTGGATTTTTTTTTCTCAGGCTGTGCATATACGTGCACCTGCATGCTAGATATGGGATGCCTCCTTTCTCCTTCTTCCTGATGTCTCTTGTTCTCATCACCCTACACACTTCCTTAAGCATGCCAAATTTGACACTGGGCTTGGTTTCAAAAAAATACAAAATCAGACTCTTTTTACAGACCTTGAGTGTTAGTTTAATTGCAAGCCCAGATTTAAGTCTTTCTCCAGGTTAAGTTCCTCATCCAGGTCTATAGTTGCTGGAACTCAGAAAGATAAACGTGATCAGAACTTTCCCAAAGTGAGGATTTGAGGAGGGGCATCAAGCTGACGTGAAGCTTCTGTCAT